GTTGCTAATTCTCCTATGACTCATTCTTCTCACCCATATCCTCTGGTTCTTAACTTTAGTCCTCAAACACTCTTTCATATATTTTCTAAAAGGGCAGACTGAGAAGATATTCCTGGAAAGAGATACAGAGAAGGCTAGATTTAGAAAGACATCTTCAGCCTACAGAATAAAAATCTGTGAGTAAGTGGGAGAAGGAACATTTATTGAGTTGCCTACAATACACAAAGGCCATATTTTTCCTCTTTTAATCCACATAACAATCCTACCAGATACTATTCCTATTTTCTTCTTGCAAATGAAGAAATGAAGCTCACAGACTTGCCTAAGGTAGCACAGCCAGGAAGTGGAGGAGCCAGGATTCAAAATCAAGTTTGCCTATTTCCTAAATTGTTAGGCTTTCCCCAAGTTCAATTTCCTCACATATTTAGTGCCTGATTCTGTTTTAACTCAGATGGTTCTGTATTTCAGTAATTTTTTTTTCTTCCATGAACTCAACAAAGGACCTGTGACTAAATTTTACTATTAAGCACCTATTATTTTCAATAAGGGCTTCAACTATGTCGAAATAGAACTGGCAAGTTGGCTTTAAAATCCTACATACAGAGAATTCCCAGGCATCTAACACTAATCATAACTACATTTGACTACCTATTCAGACCTCCAGTTGTTTCCACATTATCATTCATTTGTCCACTCATAAAATAAGGGAAGCTACTTTCACCAAAAACCCTCCCTCATGACTCCTGATAGATAATACAGGGGGGAGGAGGGCTTGCTGTAAAGCAATTTACATAAAAGTTATAAAAGCTCTTTGTTATCTGTCATGACTGGGAAATGGGCTATTCTAGCAAATCAAACATCCTGGATAGCATAATGATGCTTTTACAGGCACAACTAATTTATAAAGAATTTCAATGCATATAATTCCAATTTAAAAAAATTTTTTAAAAGAAGAAAAGAAAAAGGGAAGAGAAATGAATTCCAATTTCCAAAGTTCCATATGGCTTGCCTGTATATCAGAAGCACTTAGGGGGCCTTTTTGGAAATAGATGCAATTTTTGAAATGTAGGTTCCTGGTCATCACTTACCCACACAATCAAAATCTCCAGGAGGTAGGGCTGGGAAATCTGCATTTTAAAAAATATGCCTCCCTCCAGACTGTGACAAACTGCCAGGTACCAAATCCTCCAAGGAGCAGCTAGTTGGCTTTTGGGAACTCCTTACAATTAAACATGCTAAAAAGGCTAAAGCTGCATTGAAAACAATGTGACCTTCTTTTGATGATTAAGCAGACTTCAGGATCTCACAATGCCACCGGGTCATCTTTACTACTACTCACTAGTCACCATACTGGCAAAAAAAAAAAAAAAAAAAAAAGGAAAGAATAACAAAGATCTCCTATTGGTAGAAAGCTGGAAAAACCAGCTTTTGTTTTACTATCAGATTCAAAGAGCTGGTTTTCCCCAAGAGGCCAAGCAGATTTTATGCTTGCTTTGAAAAAGGAAAATGTTTAAAAACATGCAGGAGGACTCTTTTAACCAACTGCTTAGCTCCACAAAAAAAAAAAAAAAAAAAAACAAGGAAAGAATAACAAAGATCTCCTATTGGTAGAAAGCTGGAAAAACCAGCTTTTGTTTTACTATCAGATTCAAAGAGCTGGTTTTCCCCAAGAGGCCAAGCAGATTTTATGCTTGCTTTGAAAAAGGAAAATGTTTAAAAACATGCAGGAGGACTCTTTTAACCAACTGCTTAGCTCCACTTCAGAATGTTAACAGGCCCAAATGCATCAAAAATGTGAAATATTTGACCTGAATAAGAAAAGCAAAGGAGGAACTTCATGATAGTCTTAATGAAGAGGAAGGATAATGGGTTTAAACCAATACTGACCTAACAGGATTAGATATGATCGCTGTCCTGACCATGGCATCTGTTAAATCCTGGAAACAGGGAGAACTAAGATCTTTCAACACGAGGCCAATTCCTCCCTGAGATGGTTTTTATGTGAAAGAAAATAGGATATCCAACTAAGCGCCCAATTAGTTTTTAGGATTTTAAAACTCCATATGTATATCATATAAAGTCACAAAACAAAAAGTGGCCAGACCACTTCCCTATTAAAGAAATAGGAGTCAGTTGTTTGTATATGAAAAGATCTTCCCTAGAATTGCCGAAATAAACACCAAGTAATCATGACCATAACCGTAGCCAAACAAAACTAATAAACAGTAACCATCACCAAACCAGTAGCCATTACCAAACAACAATAGTCATAATGAAGCAGACCTTCCCTTGAGACCTCACCCACAGCAATTTAAGCTACGTAATCTCATTAAACTAAATTATCTTAACTCTGTATTGTAGTAGTTATCAGATAAGGTACAGAGGTTAAATCTTTCCTCACAAAACATAAACACTATGGCTAATACAAGTTTGGTATAAAAGTCTCTAATCTAGCATTAAAACAATAGCAGAATTAAAGGTTCTATTACAAGAATAAATATCAAGGTGGAATTAGTTCCCCTAACACTCCTTAGGTTTATGTAGGTGTTTTCAGAAAGCCCTAGGCATGACCCTCATACAGATGGGTGTAGCTGTATTAAACATCACAATGCACATGTAATTAGAAAAGAAATTGTGCCTTTTTGTTATTGTTGCTGTTTGCTTTGTCTTAAATGCTGGTCACTGAAAATGGCTTTCCTACTGCTGTTTGAAGAGTCCAATTAAAGAGGCTTTCCTATTAGATGGTACTACGCAGAGTTACGTTAACTGGCTTGGCTATGAGACAGTTTTAAAAACAATTTTTAAGTTTTCTGAGAACAGCCTTCTCTTTTTGTATGTATTATTTTAGCAATTGGTTAAATTGGTCAATTTAGAGGATTTACAAGCCCTTGATCCCAATGTAAACCATCAGGATAATAGCCAACTACATGATGAGTATGAAAGTTTTTAGTAGGCTATTTTTTTGTTTGTTTGTTTAAAGATGACCAGTAAGGGGATCTTAACCATTGACTTGGTGTTGTCAGTACCTTGCTCTCCCAAGTGAGCTAACCAGCCATCCCTATATAGGGATCCGAACCCGTGGCCTTGGTGTTATCAGCACCACCTTCTCCCAAGGGAGCCACGGGCCAGCCCCTTAGTGGGCTATTTTTTGTAGTTAGATAGACATTAACATATGTGTGTGTACTAGATTATATGCACATTGTCTTCAAGCACAATCAAGTTACTAGTTAGCCTTGCCATATCAATCTGCACTTGTTATGCACAATACCCATTTTCAAACTTAAGAAAATAACACTTCTAAATAAACTATAATGCACTCTGAAGTCCAGAATTTGGAAATATGCAATAATAGTTTCAGAAATGCTTGTCATCATCTGTTTTCCATGAAGTGAAAGAGAATGCAATCAGGCAAAAGGATAAAGTTGTCAAACCTGAAATCCCCTGAACAGAAAGGAAATATCACGGTCAGCATCCAGCCCTAGAACTCTTATACAAACTCAGCCCAGCACCTCGTCCCATTCCAAGAAAAATGATACAATAAATGGGCAGCCTTGCCCACATTTCAGTAAGTTGAAGTCACTGGGAGAACCACAACGCTCCCCATACAGTTGTATCAACAGTGCTGACAGGAAGTCCCTCTGTCCTCCAAACTGCCAAAGAAATGCATAAAGAACTTAACTCCTTTCTTAGAAGGCCACATGCACCTAGGGATATTGGTTCATTACGTCACTCTGGCCTTTAACCAGGGTGCAAAGTGACAGTTGTGGGTAAAGCCCTATTTCCAAGTTAACAGTCATCCTTCCCTTTGGTAGACTGGGTGGAGCATGGTACACTCTTCCTTGATTACACAAGCTTTTTTTTTTTTTTTTTTTTTTTTTTTTTCCTCCTAGAACAAATGACAGACCAACAAAAAGGAGAAAATACGCTGTTGTCTCTTCTGCCAGCCTGAAATCAAGCTCTGAGCAGAGCGATGCCAGCGGAGGCTCTCGGCTCCCTTGGTCTAGCCAGGCTTCCCTACGCCTGGTCAAATGTCTCCTGGGCAGCCAGCTGAAGAGAAGCCCCACTTGCCTCTCCATCTCAGCCATTGCCGCACAGAAGCGACCTCACACACATCGTGAACAGAGGGAAACTCCCGAGAGAGGGAGCAGTGGACCTTTGATTACACTTTTTTTTTTTTTTTTTTTTTTTTTTTTTTCCTCCTAGAACAAATGACAGACCAACAAAAAGGAGAAAATACGCTGTTGTCTCTTCTGCCAGCCTGAAATCAAGCTCTGAGCAGAGCGATGCCAGCGGAGGCTCTCGGCTCCCTTGGTCTAGCCAGGCTTCCCTACGCCTGGTCAAATGTCTCCTGGGCAGCCAGCTGAAGAGAAGCCCCACTTGCCTCTCCATCTCAGCCATTGCCGCACAGAAGCGACCTCACACACATCGTGAACAGAGGGAAACTCCCGAGAGAGGGAGCAGTGGACCTTGGGGGGAGAACCGCATTCCCAAACTTCTCCATCAAACCTCCAAACTCCAAATCTCCCTCCTCCAGCCGCGTCGCTCTTCCAAGAACCCCTCAGGGCTCCTCCACTAGGAAGCAGGGCCAGGCCAGTTCTTTGAAAGAGGCAAGCGACCGCCGCAGACTGCCTCAGTTTCCTCTGCCGTACAAAGAGGCATCTTTCCCCCACAAGCCAGCTGGACCTGCCGGTCTGTAAGGCGCTTGGAGTTAGTTGAGGACACAAGTCTTCTGTGCCGCCCCCACAGGTGAAATGCTTTCTTTGAGGGGACTTTTAATAGGACAGGTGTGGGCTGCCCTGAATACAGAGACTTCCAATGGGAAAGGGGTTTCTCCCATCCCCTGTACGGCACTGAGAGTCCCAGGCCGCGCCCCACACAGAGGAAGCGCCTCAGACCACAGCCTGCCGGCACCAGAGGCCGAAGAGCGATCCTCGTCCTTCCCTGGACTCCACCCCAGGCCGGGCGCCCCGCGGACCCCAGCGCCGCCGCCGCCTCCTCACCTGCCGCGGCCGCCTGCCCGGCCCACACCTGGGAGGGGAAGAGAGGGGAGGGGCCGGATCCGGGCCGCG